GCGATGCAGCCACCCGTCTGGTGGCCGCACCAGGCCACTGCTTGCACGGTTGCGGCGTCCAGGCGGCGGCTCAGCTCACTCAGTTGCTCCTGCCTGGGGTGGAGCCTGGCGCCCTCCTTCGCCCTCAGGTCTGCCTCGCTGTTGCCCGCGTATGCCCGCCAAGGCACGCCTGCCACACCGGCCCTGGCCCACGAAGTGTGCGACGGCAGCCACGTCAACGTGAAGAAGCCAGGGCCGAGGTCGTCGAGCCGCTGCCAGATCCGTCTCCACAGGTCCGCATACTTGTGGCCTGGGCCGCTGCAGCGTTCACGGCCCGCCTCCAAGCCGTCTTTGATCCCCTTGCAGTCCGTGTAGACCGTGATGGGCGATGGGCCGACCTCCTCCAAAACTTTGCGCAGCGCGTAGAGCTCAGCATAGCCGATCTCCTGGATTCCGCCTGGCGTGAGCCCGAGGAGGCCGCCGACGGTGTTCCCGACGTCGTCTACCGCCTCGGGGTACATCGCGGACCCGTCGATGCAGATGACACCCTCGAGGAAGCCGTGCCTCGCGCTGCCTGCGCGACGGCAGAGCTCGTCCATGCCTGGGGCCGGGGCTTGGTCCAGTCCGAGGTGGACAAAGCCCCTGACCAGGCCCAGGTCGTCCTGCGGCGCCCTCCTGCCTGCGTCGGCGATCTCCTGGAAACCCATGTCGCGCGCCCAGCAGGCGACGGCGGGCCATGCGAACAGCCTGTGGTGCGCCGTGCCTGGTGCGTCGATGAACTGCCCGCGGTCGTCCCTCCAGCAGTGCCAATTCAACAGCTCCCAGCCGATGCGCTCCCGCGAGAGGCGGACCGCCCCAGCTGGCCCAGTGACCTCGCCCCAGCCGTCTGGTCTGCGCTCCAGCACCTGCTTGAAGACCGCAGGGGGCCGCGCGCCCAGGAAGACGGCTCGCGCCCAAGCCCTCAGCGGTAGGACGTGCGCCGCGTAGGCGGGGTCGTGCTTCCAGCCCTTGCCCTCCTGCAGGGCGAAGACGACCGTCCTGGATCCCTGGCCGATCTCGCCCTCGCTGGCCCTGCCGTTGATTGCTCTGGCTCGCTGCAGGGTCTTCGTGGGTACTCCACTGACCCTCGCTCCGTGGAGGATGGACGCCAGCCCTCCTGTCCTGAAAACCTTGGAGAGCCTCTTGGCCCCCGCCTTGCGCAAGGCCCTGCACCGCCCAGCCCTCTGGCTCAGGCGATCGATCCTCTGCCGTAGCACCCTCCACGAGGCCGACCTCGCCATAGTGAAGCCCACGCCGAGGTTCCTCGTGGCCTTCACGCGTGTGAACCTCCATCGTCTGAGCCTGTGGGCGACCCGCTTGGCGCTGTCGGAGTCGGTGCTCAGAACCTGGCCCTTCATCAAGGAGATGATGAAGCCGATGACCACCAGGTCCCAGCAGAGGGCGCGGGTGGCCCCGACCAAGAAATGCTCCAGCTGCGCACGCTTGGCGTAGACCGCCACCGTGATGTCGCCGACCACTAAGTATGGACGCACCCTCTGCCAGGCCGCCAGCAACGCGTCCAAAGGCTCGACCAGCACCACGCGGAGCAGCGTCGTGGCGAAGGAGCAACCCGCCAGCGGTGACAGGAACTTAAGGCCGAGGTCGCCTACCAAGTCCTGCGCAGCCAGCTTGCCTATCTTGGCCTGCAGCCGCGCCAGCACGTCCAGCTCCCTCGAGACAAGGTGCGGCGCCCGCAAGCGGCGCCTGCCGGCCAGCCTCTCCCAAAGCAGCGCCGCGATCATGTGCCAGGCGCGCGCCTGCGGGGAGCCGCGGGCGCGCGTCCCCCGCCTGCTGGCGCTGATGGTGCCCTCCTGGATGCGGGCGGACTCGCCGCGGCCCGCGCACTTCATCAGGTCCTCCTGCTTCATGTCGACAAGGCCGCCCAAGTCCTCCTCCATCAGCGCCGCGAAGCTGGCGTAGAGCTCGTCCAGCGTCCGAGGCCAGCTGCCCGTGGCCCGCGGGGCCTCGAGCCCCGCAGCAGGGCCTAGCCGCTCGACCTTGGCCACGCACTCGACCGCCTCCTCGCCAGAGTGCCTCTGGCCTGCGCCGCTGACCTGCCCTGCAGGCTCGGTCTCGCTCCCCGTGGCGGCGCACGGGGGCAAGTCCAGCACGTCGCCCTTCAGGGAATGGACGACCTCTGTCCAGTCCTCGTCGTAGCACGCGCGAACTCCACGCAGCGCCTCGGCCGACGCCGACGGTGGCAGCAGGACGGGTGGCCCTAGACCGCTCGGCAATGTCCCATGGCCGTCGGAGCTCGCCACACGAGCAGGGCAATTTATCGCAGGCTGCCCCCAACTGCCAGTCCCAGGACTTGGATCCTGGGGGGCCGCTCCCGACGGGACTGGCCCCCCAGGATCGCGCCTCTCGCCGCCTCCCTGGTCGAAGGACTCGTCCAGCATGGCGGCCTCGACGTTCACGGGAGCCCCTCCAGGGGCGGCGTCGTCGGCCTCCCTGGCAGGCTCGGGGCCATCCTCTGACGGTCCCTGGTTGCCTGCGGCGCTGCCAGGTGCGACCGCCGCGATGGCGTCCGCCAGCTCCGAAAGCAAGCCTGTCCAGCACGGCGGCTCCCGCCTCGGCCCCTCGGGTCGCTCGGTGGGAAAGGGCCTTGGTGCCCGATGCCGCATCGCTCTCTCAGGCTCCTTTTTGCCGTCCAGCGTCAGCTGCACTGGGTAGTGCGGGTTCAGGGCTGCGTCCAGACGCGAGACCTTCTTCACGGCTGCGCCCATGTTGCTGGAGACCACGAAGAAGTCGATCTCTGTGCCTCCTCCTATTCTGCAGGTGGTCTGCCCCGAGCTCGCCACGAAGCCCGAGACTCGATCTGGCCAGCCCCCTCTTTCGAGCTCCTGCGGCGCGCAGTTCCAGTCGCCGCCGATGATGTACTGGGCCTGCACCGCCTCGAGGTACTGCCCCAACTGCGCGAGCAGCACCCTGCTCTCGGGGTCCAGGCCGCAGGTGGTCGCCACCAGGTAGACCGAGACCGCCAGGAATCCTCCTGGCGCCACGCCCGTCTCCAGCACGAAGAGGATGCCGCCCTGCGCCTCTTCCTGCAGCCAGCGTCGCATGCTCGCCCTGGAGGTCGTGTTGGCAGAGACCAGCCTCCAGAGTGAGCCCTCGCGGGGCGCCCTGGCCCTGCGGTTCGCAGCTGCCGCCCCCGCGCCCTCGGGCGCCTCAGTGGGCCTGGTCCTCGCTCTTCTCTGCTGCCTCGGCCGCGCCTTTGCCTGCAGCGGAGCCCGCTGGGCGGCGCAGGCGCTTGGGCAAGGAGCAGCCGTGCGACTCGAGGAAACGCTCGACCTCGGCCCGTTTGGCCCCATCGAGGGCCTCCACTCTGGCGTCGAAGTCGTCGCCCTCCTCCTGCATTGCGTCCCCTCCCGCGGCTGCTGGTGGCCCGCCCTCACGGTCAGGAGGGCGCCCAGCAGGAGCAGCAGCAGCAGCAGGCGCCCCAGAGGGTGGGGCCTCCGCCGCCCGCTTGGCCGCCTCAATGCGGGCCTTGCTCGCGGCGGCAAGCTTTGAGAAGAGCTCGATGGCCTGGGTAACCTGGACGGCCTCCTCGCCCTCGAAATGGTCCTTGAGCTCGGCGGCGTACCTCGCCCCGAGGGTGGCTTGGGCCAGCCTGTCGACGTCCTGTGCGCGCTGGTCGAGCTGTGCTTCGGGCGGGAGGCCCGCCTGCTCCACCCTCCTGGCGCGCTCGAGCTGGTCCTGCGCCTGGGCGTGGGCCTTGGCTGCGGCCTCCTTGGCCTCCGTGGCCTTGTCCACCGCCAGCTGGGCGTCCGCCAACGCCTCCTGTGCGGCCTCCAAGTTCTGCTGAGACCTCTCGAGCTTGCCCGCCGTGTTTTTGACCTTCCACATGGCGCTCTGCACCGTGGCGTGGTGCGACTTGGGCGCCTCTGGGCCTGCCTTGCTTGGGTCGGCCTGCCTGCCGACTCCCAGCTTCTTCTGCGCCTCCTCATCAAGCTGGACTCCGCGCTCCTCCAGCAGCCGCAGCGCTGCTGCCAGCTTGTCGGCCTCGTCGTCCTCCCTGATCTCGACGACCTCCGCCTCGCGGAACCGCACCCGCCGAGGCTTGCCGCCGCCGTGCACCCAGGGCGCCTCCGCGGCCGCCGCCGACTGCTTGGGCTCCGTCTCGGCGCTGGCCTTGGCGCCCGCCTTGGCCTTGGGCGCCACTGCCCTGGGCGGCCGCGCCGCGGATGGGGACGGGCCTGCCGCCGCCTCCACTGCCCGCTGCCGAACGGAGACTGGCGCGGGCCCCCCACAGCTCCTGCAGTGGAGCCGCGATGCCCAATTGGCCGCCTCGCCACAGCGGCAGCCCCAGGCTGGGGTCTTGGGCCCCGGGAGCACGGTGCCGCCGCCGCCCTGCGCCGCCGCCCCGCCGTGGCCACGCGGCCTGGTGCCCATTGCGTGAGCCAAGAGGGTTGCGGAGGCAAAGGAATGGCGAGAAGTCTGGTGATCGTTGCCAGTGCTCGCGCGCACACGGCGCTCTGAAGTATGTACGCACAAGACCCCCCCCCCCTGGGAGAGCCCAGAACGCCTCTTGAGCCAAAATGGCTTGAGCCAAAATGGCTACGGACCTCCTCCTCCTCCTCCTCCTCCTCCTCCTCCTCCTCCTCCTCCTCCTCCTCCCTCCTCCTCCTCCTCCTCCTCCTCCTCCTCCTCCTCCTCCTCCTCCTCCTCCTCCTCCTCCTCCTGCTGTTCCTCCTCCTCCTCCTCTTGGGACGTCCGCGCGGCTCTTTTGGTCTGGCGATGCACTGCCACCGGCATCGCCTCTGGCGACGCCCCCTTGGCGCGCCATAGAGAGGGGGGGGGTCAGCGCGGAACCAAGAAATCATCGCGTCCCTCGGACTGTTATTTGTTTGCAAATGTTTGCGTTTGTTTGCACATGTGTGGGAACACCCAACCCAGACCCCACACATCCTCCCAGTTGCGTCCCTCTCACACACCTCAGTCATTCCCCGGGCCTTCGCTGCACCCTGAGAAATCCCAGCTGCCTCCACCTCTTCAACTCTGAACATCTCGTTCGGATACATGAGGAAGCCTGGGCGGTTCGGGCAATCGGCGATCAATGAGAAGGAGCCGGCCTTGGAGCGAGATGGGGGAAGAATAGGTGGCCAGGGGGGAAGGGAGGAGAAGGGAGGTGGGAGGGGTGAGAGGGGTGGGTGTGAGGGATGAGTGGGGACCGCCCAAATGCGTCGAAATAGAATATAAGGTCGGTGGATCGCGCCGCATTGCCAATGCATCGCCGGTTCATCCGCGACGTCGGCGATGTATCGGAAACGTCGGCGTGGAGAAGATCGGGCTCTGCATCGAGCCACATCGAGCATGCACCGGCGATGCGGTGTGATCCCCCGATTCCATCTGTTTCGAGCCCATCAGGGCAGCCTGGAGGGGGATCCTTGAGAAGGCCACAGGCAGCGACGGCGCCACTCGGCGGCGGCGTGTGCGTGTGTGCGTGTGTGCGTGTGTGTCTGTGTATGTGAGTGTGTTTGTGTGTGTGTGTGCGTGCGTGCGTGCGTGCGTGCGTGAGTGCGTGAGTGCGTGCGGGCGTGCGTGCGGGCGGGTGTGGGTGCTGATGTGGGTGTGTGTGTGTGTGTGTGTTTGTGGGTGTGTGGGTGTGTGTGGGTGTGCGGGTGTGTGTGTGTGGGTGTGTGGTTGTGTGTGTGGGTGTGTGGGTGTGTGTAGTGTTGTGTAAGGTTGTGTTGTGTTGTGGTGTGGTGTCTTGTGTTGTGTTGTGGTGGGTTGTGTTGTAATGTGGTGTGGTGTGGTGTGGTGTGGTCCGGTGCGGTGCAGTGTGGTGTGGTGTGTTGTGTTGTGTTGTGTTGCGGTGTGTTGCGTTGTGCTGTACTGTGCTGTGCTGTGCTGTGTTGTGTCGTGTTGTGTTGTACTGTGCTGTGCTGTGCTGTGCTGCGCTGTGCTGTGCTGTGCTGTGCTGTGCTGTGTTGTGTTGTGGTGTGTTGTGTTGTGGCGTGTTGTGTTATGTTGTGTTGGTTGTGTATCAGTGTCAGTGTCTGTGGGTCTGCGTGTCTGTGTATGTGTAGTAAGTGTGTATGTGGACGGGGAGGGGCCTTGGATGGGACGACCTGATGGGCGGGGCAATATGTGTTGGACCATGGGCGACCCTCATGTTACGCATCGGTCCGCCCAAACCCACTCGCGACGTGATCAGAAATCACGAGAGACGATCGTAAGGGAAACGAACAGGTACCGACACCGCTACTCCCCAGAACTTTCCAAGGGCGCGTTCTGACTACAATTTCGAGGCGAACCCCGCGGTGGTGACGAGAGTCTCCCCTGGATGCCGAAAAAGCGGAAAGCGAGGGATAGCGGTGTGAGTACCTTTTTCCTCCTCTGAGTTTTCAAGCCTCCTGGGACCCTTGCCAGGCTCTGAGACCGTCAACAAACAACTCGGGGCCCCGCGCTGTGAATAAAAACCATGGCGTCGGAGGTCTGGGAAAGGCGGCCTCCGACAAGATCCGGCGGTTCTCCCGGCGGGTTCCCCGGCAACCTTCTGCTCGGCGGAAGACGGGCGGTTGTGCTTGACAAGGGGTCCGTAATCAAACTCCAAGGCGAGGGGAGGGGAGAAGAGTGTTTTTGCGAGTCGGCCAATTCAAAGCCCTCGCGCCAAACCTGCTCTACCGAGCCCGCACTGTGACTCCAGATCGACAGCCGCAGAGGGCGACCGTGCAACAACGTCAGAATGACTGGCCAGGGCAACTCTGGGCCCCAGAAGGGCGTATATACCCTCCTGGCAAAGGCCAGGAGAATGAGAACACCTCGCCAGGGCCCAGGATTGCCTGGCCAGACACAACGGTGGTAATGCGAGTAGATGCCTTCTGTGGAAAGTAAGCATGGCCAGTGTTATCACAGCCAGCCACCATACACACACGAACACGAACGGACACACATCCTTCCCCTGGCGGTGCCACACAAACAATCTGATTACCGACCAAGCCGAGACATCGGAAACAACGGAGAAAAGCACGACGCAACAACCGGCCGAACAGAATCGACCGAATGCGACCGACAACGATGCAACCGACCGAACCGAGTCGCGGACAACCGTGCAGGCGGCCCAGCAGGGTCAAAACACGATAACACATCGATCCTCCTCGATCCTCGCATCTTCAGTCTACGGCGGCAACAAATATGACCTGCTCGAGCGTGTGTTCACTTGTGGGCGTGCCGCGGGTCCTGAAGCCATCTTCTTCTTCGATTGCAGACCATGACAGTTTGCAAAGTGTGTTGGCGGCCGCCCTCGACAGGGGAATGCCCGCCTTCGCTGAGCTCGACGCTCCACGTCGCCTTCGAACGCCCCCGATGCCTCGACTCATTTTCACTCGATATCCTGCTCGAGTTCCTGGCACTGCCTCATGTTACAATCGCCCAGGCGAACTTGTCTTCGCTCCGTTGAGTTCGGGACCCTTGCGGATCGAGATGGGCTTCCCGTTTTCCGGCTCATACGTCCACAGCTCGTCCAGTATCTGTCCGCAGCGGAGGCGGCGCGCCCACATGCAAGCGGACGCTGGATGAACATGGATCGCAGACCAACAACACAGGAGGAAACAACTACCGTGCCGAAGATGACGGAGATATCAGGTGCCAAAGTGGGAAGATGAGCAGGCGCGTGAGCAAGAACAACAAATCAGGGGATGGAGAATGAGGCGGAGGGGGAAATGGAGGTAAAATAAACAACCATGCAAGGGGCAACGATCTGGGGGGGGGGTGCTGGGCTCACTGGGGGCGACATCGACCTAGAAAATGCATCGCTGCTGAATCGGCGATAGGCTTCCGACACCAAACGCACACGTTCCTGTGCTGGGCGCGCTATCCGGCCCCTCTCGGCGACGAGTGGGCGATTGGGGACCCATGCCTCACCCGTGAGCCGATCCCCCTCCTGACGTTGCCTCCTGTCTTTCGGTTGGACCGCGATAAATGGGGGGGCGATAAACGGGGGTAAAGCGAGGGCTGCCAACAGCAGGCCCCTCAGGGCCCCTGAAGGGGCCCCCTTCGGGCCCAGAAGGGGGCCTTTAGGGACCGAAGGCGGCACCGTTCTCCCCCCCTCCATCGATCGCCCCCCCCCGTTAGTTTGCGCCCAATACGGGCCACACCGGAGCCCTTCGGCGGCCGTGGTCGTAGGAGGAGGAGGAGGAGGAGGAGGAGGAGGAGGAGGAGGAGGAGGAGGATCACCGCCCCCCCCGGGAGCGCTCGCGGCGAGCGGGGGGAGGAAGCCAGAGGCCGGAAAGCAGCCGCCAAGAGCCGGCGGAGGCGTCAGAGCACCCCATCGAGCCTCGAAGCGAGCCCGACCTTCCGACATGCCCAGGAGGAGGAGGAGGAGGAGGAGGAGGAGGAGGAGGAGGAGGAGGAGGAGGGAGGAGGAGAGGAGGAGGAGGAGGAGGAGGAAGGAGGAGGAGGAGGAGGAGGAGGAGGAGGGGGAGGAGGGGGAGGGGGCAGGAGGAGAAGGAAGAGTAGCGGGAAGAGGAGACGAGGACTGCTGGAGGCGGAAGAGGGAGGGGGCAAGGAGGGGCACTTTCGGCGGCAATTCCTGGGAGCCTCCCATGCCATCTTGTCGGCTCTGGCGAATCGACGCTAATCGACGCAAAATCGACGCTAATCGACGCCAAACCGACGCCAATCGATGCTGACCGACGCTGGATCGGCGCTGTCTCATCGACTTCCAGGAGCTAATCGACGCGAGTCAACGCTAAAGACGGAATCAAGAGGGTACTTCAGGCTCCCATGATTTGCCACCGAAGGTGCCCTGGGGCAGGAGGAGGCGGAGAAAGAGGAGTGGGAAGAGGAGGAGGAGGGGTCAGGAGGAGGAGCAGTGGGAGGAGGAGACGAGGACTGTTGGGGGCGGAAGACGGAGGGGGTGGGAAGGGGCACCCTGGGGCAGGAGGAGGCGGAGAGGGAGGAGCAGAAGAGACGGAGCAGAAACGAAGGGGGGAGCAGAACGGAGTGCCCCGGCGGGGAGAGCGCAGTGTACGAAGCATCCGGAGCACAGGGGCTACTGACCTCCTGGCCTCGGCTACAGTAGGAACCCGACCACAGGAGACCTTCCACAAGAAACCCAAGCCCGAAACTCCCGGACGTGCGTTGATTTCTGGTGTGGGAGCGTCACGCTTTCCATAGCAGAACCATCGAAACCCAAGAAACCCAAGGCACCCTTGCGTCAAGCAAGGTGTTTCTTGGCATGGGCCCCCACAGTAGAGAAGAGCCCTGGCAGGCAGAGCCGTCTAGTAAACGCACCCGAGGGAGGAATTGAACAGGGCAAAACACTGTAGTACAATCAACCCGTTTGATAAGGATGCACAGTAAGGATGCAAGGGCCTTGGAAGGCCGTGTCGACGCTTTGTGGGCGGGGTGCGGCCAGCGAAAGTGGCCAAGGATGGGCCGAAAGGGAAGGATGCAAGGATAGACTTGTGAAAATTGCCCATCCTCACGATGCGGGTTAACCGAACAGGACAAGAGCTTGTAGTAAACGCCCAGGGCCGTTCCGCAAGCGCCACTTCTGGGGTCGAGGTGCTGCTTCCTCCATGGATCGCCTGGAGGCTTGCCTGAGACGATTCTCTCCAGGGACAGTCGCCCATCGCTGCTGGACGCGGGGACGGGGAGGTCGAGCTGGAACGGGAGGTCAGGAGCGGGCGAGGCCAGCTGCGGGAGGGGAAGATCCCCCTCCCTGCTTGGAGGCCTCCCCGATGGGGTCGAAGTAGACGTAGCGTCAGGTCGGGCGTGCCCCCTTACAGGCGGAGCTTGGGCGAAACATGAAAAAGACTCGGAGAAGACTCCAACATGGCCAAACAAAAATAATCAAACAGATCGTCCCCAGACTTTTTTGACTACTTATGGATATTCCTCCTGCAGAGGGACAGGCCCGACTCGAGCGTGGCCGAGGATGGCCCCAAGAGGCAAACACGACGGCGCCAGAACGGCCTGCGTCCCGCAGAGGGAGGCTCCCGGCCAAAGGGGGCCCCCCCCGGGAGGCTCCTGCCCGGGGCCCCGGGGCCGTCCACGCGGAACGACTCGGCACGACAAACCCGTTGCCCCGGGAGAAGGGTCTGGAGGACTTCTGGGGGACCCACAAAGCGGCCCAAAAGTTACCCGTCGGTCGGAAGAAGCGGGTAGAATTAGGGCGGGCACGTCCCCCATCCCGGGGGGGGATTTTGAACGAGACATTAGAGATGCCCCAAGAATTCCCGAACATATGTCACACTGCTCGAACATGGTCCCCAGACTATTTCGCTGACTGTTGCTGAATATTCCGCCTGTAGAGGGACAGGCCCGACTTCAGGGTAGGAACAGTAAGTAGGAAGGCGTCGGAAGGAAGAAGGAAGAAGGACAACCACACGATCATTGAAGTACAGTAGGAACCCGACCACAAGAAACATTCCACAACAAACCCAAGCCTGAAACCCCATGACGTGCGTTGATTTCTGATGTGGTAGCGTCACGGTTTCCATAGCAGAGCCATCGAAACCAAAGAAATCCTGGGATCCCTGGAGGCAAGCAGGGTGTTTCTTGGCATGGGCCCCCACTGTAGGGTGGCGCCTATACAGTAGACTTAGGTCGGGCCTGTCCCCCTACAGGGGGATTTTGGGCGAAAAATTAAAAAAAGACTCAAGGCATACCCCCCAAATTCTCGAAAATGTCAAAAAATAGTCCACGTACTATTCTTTATAACTATGTTTGAATATTCCTCCTATAGAGGGACAGGCCCGACTTAAAAGTAGACTGGGCCCTGGGGATGCAGGAATACCTACTCCCAACGACGACCGACGCACAAAGGCCTCGCCCCCTAGGTGGGGCCCGAACAGATGGGGTCGGGGGATCGCGCCGCGTCGCCGACACATCGGCGATGCATCGGCGATGTATCGGCGACCCGCCGAGGAGGAGGAGGAGGTGGAGGGGGAGGAAGGGGATGGGGCAGGGGGAGATGGAGGATGAGGAGGAGGAGGAGGAGGAGAAGGAGGAGGAGTAGGATCTGACGTCGGCGCTGCCTCGGCGACGTCGACGAGAAAGCAAATCGGGCTCCGCATCGAGCCGCGTCGGCGATGCACCAGCGATGCGGCGCGGTCCTGCGACCCCAACTTCTCCGACCCCATGTGGGAGGCCTAGGGTGCAGGAGCCTCCCAGATGGGGTCCGAGGATCGCGCCGCATCGCCGATGCATCAACGATGCCTCGGCGACGCATCTGCGAAGCATCGGCGCGGAGAAAGGCGGCGCATCGGGCGGAAGGGGGGGTGAGGGGGGTGGTCTGGCTCTGGACATCTGCTTGCTGCAACAATTTGCTACAGTGCGGCCATCATGAGACTCCACCTGCCTGAAACAGGTGCCGAAAATAGCCAAGATCTGTTCCACGGGGAGGGGTTAAAGGAGGGGGTGCGAGGGCCCGCGCCGATCGGCAAAACGATGAACAAGAAAACGATTACCTTCCACCTGCACAGGGCTGAACCTAAACGGTGCTTTTCGATTTCGTCTTGCTTTCCTTTTCCCTCGTTTTTTTGTCTTCAGTCCGCCTCTACCGCAAAACGAAATCGGAACGAAAACGGCCCACGAAATCGCCAACACACTGTTGAGGTCCCGCCCTGCCCGTGCACATTTCGGTTCTGCGCGTGCAGCCTTGTTCGCACGAGGACCCAGCACACGCCCGAGCGAGGCCGAGATCTGCTCCGACCCCACCTGGGAGGCCTGGGCCTTCGGAGGCAGCTCCTGGGAGGTCTTCGTGAGAACGAGTAAGGGAGCAGTGAAGAGCCTCGAGGCCCACTGGAGGGGCCCGTGAGCCCGATGAGGTCCGAGAAAGCCCTATATTAAGCCAAAGCAACCCGGATTACGCGGGAGCAAGAGGAATTAGCAGGACTAGGTCATATTAGGCCGGCTTTCGAGCACAGATACATCAGTGCCGATGCTGAGTGCAAACCTGCCTGGAGTTCTATCCTAGCTCCCCCGAGATGCGACGTTGCGAAAAACTGCAACATCGCACTGCAACATCGCGAAGAACTAGTCACAACGGGAGCCCAAGACCTCATCTCTCTCTCTCTTTCTCTCTGCGGAATGTGTCGCGCCAGATCGACTTGTGTCGACTCGTCCAGTGTGAGAAAATGCAAGTGAGAAGGAGAAGGCCTTCTCAGAAAGCGGCGGGGCCTCTCAGAAGTCCTCGCGCCTATTGAGAACTTGCTGCCTTCGGGGAAACCTGAGAACACTTCCAATGATAGAAGCCTCCTAGATGGGGTCCGACTAGACAGGGTCGAAAGACCGCGCCGCATCGGCAATGCATCGCCGATATATCGGCGATTCGCCGGCTATGCACCGGCGACGTCGGCGATGCATCGGCGACGTGGGCGCGGAGAACATCGGGCTCCGCAACGAGCCGCATCGCAGATGCATCGGCGATACGGCGCGAACCTCCGACCCTCTCCGCTCGGACTCCATCTGGGAGGCCTAGACAAGGCCCGAAGACTTCCGAGCCTTCTGAGGCCCGCCATTT